CATAGGCATCAACGACGTCAGGGCAGCCCTCATGGAGTGGCACCTCGAACTCCCATGAGTTCTGTGAATGTGGATATCCTTTCCACTTCGCTAAGTACTGGGTACGATACCGGCGACGACGCCACGCCACATAGCGTTCCACATGGTAGTGGGGCTCGCCGTGCTCGTCGAGCAGAGCCGGGGGAGGCCGTGTCTCAGCTGGATTCCCGCGCTGCGAGTCACCACTCGCCGGAACGGCGTCTGCGTCCTCACGACGTCCTTGACGCGGACGACCACGTTCACCACCCAGCGGTCGGTCTCGAAGAGGTGTTCTACCCCGTGGACTGTTCTTACTACCTATTGTTGATTCACAACCAGGTCTCGGACCTTGAACAGTAAGTTGCTATGCTGTATCTTCAACTTGACTTGCTCCTGCATCTCGAGCATTTCATCCCGCTAACTGTGGCTTCGCCACATGCTGTTGGCCAGCTCCCCGTGGTTCCACCACTTGCCTTCCGTGGTTTCACCACCTGCTGTCCCGCAGCCGCACGCGGCCTATCCACTCTCTGCCAATTCGGCGCCCCGCAACTTCCACGAGCCGGCTTCTGGTACGGCGTGAGAAAGCCAACGTAAAACAACGGATGGGTGCGCATCTTCTTGAGAAGACTTAGTGTGTACGCTAGGCCCTTCCTGACCACGACCTTGAACGGTCCAATGAACCTAGATCTCAGGTTTGTCTTGAAGACGGCAGACACTGCATGTATAGGTAAGTTTTTGGTGTTTAATAAAACGAGGTCTCCGACCTCAAACCTTCTACATTCCCTCTGCTTCGAGCATCCACATGCGCCTTTTGCAGGTCCTGCCTCTTACCCATAGCGTCGCGCACCTGGCGCATAACGCTAAGTCCCAGCGAGACGAAGGCATCAAATTGGCATCAAATTGTTTGCGTACCGCGACAGGGCTGACATCAGCAAGCCGCTCGGCTATTCCTCCCCCGCCAAGCCCTGATCCACCTAATGGCGGCGTCACCGGGACGCGAGGATTCACAAGGCCGTTCACATAGAACGGGGTGAATTCGGTAGAGGCATGTACCGCATTATTC